CCTCCCTCTAACTTTCTGGCATTATTTGATACATATCTCTGTCCCTGCTAGACTATAAGATCTTTATTATATGTTTAAACATTCACTGCACCTTGAAAACTGTGAAGCATTAAACAAGTATAAAGTCAGATATTACTCAAGAATAACAGCACATGAAATTTATTATTTTACTTTAACACCCCTGACATATGGTCACACAGCCTCCAGTTCAGTGGTCCTGCATCTTGGCGGCACTCATCACCTGGGGAGCATTCAAATATACTCTGCCTGAAGCCCACCTCCAGGAGCTCTGATTCAATTGGTCTCGGGTATGGCCCGGACACGGGATTTTTTTTTTGTTAAAGTTCCCTGGATGATGCTAAGGTGCAGCCCAGGTGGAAGACCACTGCTCTAAGTTGAAAGTTTGTTTTATTCTCACAAACATTTCCTGAGCATTTGCGAGGTATGGAATTTTTTACGGCATGAGAGAGTGAGGGACGCCACACAGGGATAACCAGGAGACATCCCCACCCTCGGAAGTTCCTGCTGGAATTGAATGGAGAAGCAGAATACAGCAGGATTCTCACACCACACAGAGTGCAGTGGGTGTTGGGGCTGGAAACGTGGGTGCCGTGGAAGGAAAAGTGAACCACTGGTTCCGACGTGACCGGTTGTGAATGCCTCCAGAAGAGGGAGTTCAGTCCTTACGAGCTGTGGGCTACACTGCCAGATATCTCTAACAGTGAGAGAGTGCTTGGGAAGCGTGCACTGAAATATGCCTGCCTGTAACTTCTTTAGATCCTCGCCAAAGAAGCCTAATCCTTATACTATTTCTGTTTCATTCAGGAAATGGTAAATAGAAAATGGAATTTCTGATTTTTAAAATAAATTGATTTATTCATTTATTTATTTATGGCTGTGTTGGGTCTTTGTTGCTGTGCACGGGCTTTCTCTAGTTGTGGCGAGCACGGGCTACTCTTCATTGCAGTGCGCAGGCTTCTCATTGCTGTGGCTTCTCTTGTTGCAGAGCACAGGCTCTAGGCACGTGGGCTTCGGTAGTTGTGGCGCGTGGGCTCTAGAGCGCAGGCTCAGTAGTTGTGCCGCATGGGCTTAGTTGCTCCGTGGCATGTGAGATCCTCCTGGACCAGGGCTGGAACCCGTGTTCCCTGCATTGGCAGGCGGATTCTTAACCACTGCGCCACCAGGGAAGCCAGGAATTTCTGATTTTTAAAACCCTTTGATTAGTGGCAAGAATCCAATTACATTAAGCCTGTTAATGTTTTTGCAGTCACTTTTATTGCTTTCCATTCAGGAAAATGAGAACTCTGTAAGCAAACTGACAGAACTCGGAATGCAGAGCACTGAAGTTGGGGCGCACTACAGAGGGGGTCGTGTAGAAAGGGGCTACCATCAGTTATCCTACAAAAATGCAAGCATTTCCAAGCCCTACTAAGGACCCTTCAAAAGAGTTACTAAATGCTTTGAGGAGTATATCCTAGAAATATTAACAGTAGTTCACATGTGAGTCAGGATAGGCTCAGTCATGCTGCAGTAACAATCTCAAATCTCAGAGGTCTGAAACAACGAAGGTTTATGTTCATCCTCGTCAGCCCAAAACCCAGGATAAGGGGGCAGCCACCATCTGGAATTTCTGCCATCCTGACAAAGGGAAAGCACTCTGGAGCATTTAACTGCTCTGGCCCAGAAGTGACACACAACGCTTCTACTCAAAATTCATTGGCCAGAACTTGTGTCGTGGCTCTAGCGAGCCACAAGTGGGACACTACATGTCCCTGGAAGACAGAAAGCCAGGAATGTCTGATGAACAGCACCGAATACTAAGCACACTAAGCACACTAACATTTACTGAATGTGCCTGCTATGTACTGAGCACTCTTATACATGCGCTTTCTTTAGAAACTCATCAACTCCTCACGATAAATCTAGGAAATAGTAGTATGATTATCTCTAGTTCAGCCAGAGAACATCAACACACTAAGACCCCAGAGCTAGGTGACAGAAGATCTGGGATTCAGATCCACGCTGTCTGGTACCAGAGACCATCCCCATAGCCCCTGTGGCATTTCCCCTGTGCTATAAAGCTAGCAATTTATCTTCAAAGTCTTAATCAGGAAATTCTGGTCCACCCATAACCTCTTATTTATTTATTTATTTATTTATTTTTGGCTGCGCTGGGTCTTTGTCACCGTGCGCAGGCTTTCTTTAGTTGTGGTGAGCGGGGGCCACTCTTCATTGCGGTGCGCAGGCTTCTCATCGCAGTGGCTTCTCTTGTTGCGGAGCGCGGGGTCTAGGCGTGCGGGCTTCAATAGTTATGGCTCGCGGGCTCTAGAGCGCAGGCTCAGTAGTTGTGGTACACGGGCTTAGCTGCTCCACGGCATGTGGGATCTTCCTGGACCAGGGCTAGAACCTGTGTCCCCTGCACTGGCAGGTGGATTCTTAACCACTGTGCCACCAGGGAAGTCCCCACCCGTAACCTCTTGTTTTAGGAGGCTTGGTAGGGAAGCTGCTTATGGCTCTGTAAATCATATTGTGGGGAAGGGGAAGGACTCTAAAAGCAGAAAAAAATATAATAATTTCATTAATAATATCAAGGGACTTCCCTGGTGGTCCAGTGGTTAAGACTCCGCACTTCCATTACAGGGGGCACAGGTTCAATCCCTGGTGGGAGAACTGGGATCCCACACGCCATGGCCAATAAATAAATTAATTAATTAATTAATAATATCAATAGTCCCAAACTTTATTTTGGTTTTTGGCCGTGCCACACGGCATGCGGGATCTTAGTTCCCTGACCAGGGATCGAACCCGTGCCCCCCACAGTGGAAGCACTGAGTCCCAACCACTGGACCACCAGGGAGGTCCCCCAAACATTTTTTTACCACTTACTATGTTACAGGCAGTGTGCTAATTGCTGAACCAGTATCATCTCATTTAATACTGTGAAGATCATGAGATCAAATGCTCCTGTGACACTATGAGTTACCTTCTCAGGCAGTACCTCTCAAATATCCATTCTAAAATTCCTACCTGGGGTAAAGGGATTTGCTCCCATCCTTCATGAGCCCCAGGAAACCTTAAATATCTCAGACATGTTGGCTGTGTCCGAATTAGACTTTGGACAAGGTACTTGACTTCCTTCAGTTTGCTCACCTGTAAAATGGGTATATCAATATCACTTGCTCCAAAAAGCTGTCCCTCGAAGGTAAAGTTTTCAATCAGAGACTTCTTATGATGGTCTGAACTGAGGCAGAAGTATATTCACCCTCTTCCCCATACATATAGAAATGCTAGGTAACATTTTACCCCCAAAACTGTTTTTAATACATAGTTGCAGTCAAAAGCAAGAAAAGGTGCCAGGTATAGGGGGAACTTTAAGTTACAGGGATGAACAAAAGCTGAAGCAAACAAGTCACAGGGCTTTTCAGAAATAATAAAGGTCTTAGGAACTTGGGTTAGAGCAATAGGAGAGGGAGGCTTAGGTCCCAGCAAGGCTGGGAATGGACCTGAACTTCCTAGATGAAATCAGGATTAACGAAGGGATAACCTACCAGCCTTTAGAAGCAGCTTGGAATCTGGCTGCCCACAGTGGGCCAAGAGTGTGAAAAGGAATAACCCTTGAGGAAATCCCACTCCCAGACATTTACCCAAGAGAAATAAAAGCATATGTCCACCAAAAAAGGCTCATTCCTAGAAGCCACATGCAAATAGC